AAATGGCAATAAAACTTATTTTGTTAATGCATTATGTGATATTTCGCTAAATTACGAATCTAATCCATCAAAAATAACGGTGTTGAATCAACCAACCCCATATATGAGGATAAAATTATATGTAACTCTACGACGAGGCAAATATTTTGGATGTGAAAGTAGTGAAAAAAATCAAGGTAAACAATGTTTAGGAAACGTTCATTTGAATTGTTTGAAATATAGGCTCTAGGCCATAATTACATATTGTAGAAATACTACATATAAAAAAATGTTCTGATTCAGCATTATATTAATTTAAGAAATATTCCAGGCAAGAAAATTATGAATGCTTGAGATGCTATACTTAAGATTAAATTTAATATTCTCATTGCAAAGACAGTCATTCTATTGTTATTTGAGGCGAATTGAACATGAAAGCGGTAACACGTTTTAGAACAAGTTTGTTTCTATCTAATAATGATATCTTCCATTCCCAATCGATAATAGAGAGATAGCACTAAATAATGTTAAATGTTTACAATTCGATGGCATATATATAGTCATCGACTACAAAATCATTTGATACATCCAACGATCTACTTGAAGGATTTCGAAATGAAATAAATAACAAATACTTGGAACAAGGAGCAAAGAAGCAGAGAAAATGTTTCGATTAAAATATGTTATTGAACGTCTTCATGGAAAAAGATTTGATTATTAATTAACCGGACTAACAAGAAAGCAAATAAATTTGAAAGATTGGATTTAAAAAAAATTTTCGCATATAATGTCTGGTGCACATTAAATGAGACAAACTCTTTTTCTTTGTTGACTCATTCTGATACAATTTCAAAAGTTATTTGATAAAGAGTTTTTCGCTCTACAAAACTGTTTTGTTTGTTTTTCAAATAATTTTTTCCTGTTGAAACAAAATTGAAAATATGAACTACTGCTCAAGCATCTAAATGCTGTTTTCGATTTTCTATAGATATCTATCAATTTGTGCAAGTATTTGCTTATGAAGACTAGTCCAAAGAAACGCAGCTGGCATCAATGAATAGACAATTTTATGCCTTCCATTTCGACGATCTTTTCAAGTTACTCAGTGAAATCATTCATAAGAAAAAATTCTTGCAGCGGTAAAGCCTACTGATATTCTTTTAAGAATGTCGGAAAAGCATGCTTTTACAAGCGAGACTTAGTATATGAAAAAGTCATTCTAGCATTGTCAAATGTGGAATTCAATTTTGAATAAAAGGTTGTGACTGCTAAGTTGACGAGTACTAACATTTAGGGTGTATCGAGATAAAAATAACAATCATGTTATCGTGTCACACAAGACTTCTCTAGGTTAAACTTCACAATTATTCTCCCAGAAATTTCTTATGAAATTTTGAAACATTTAACGGACGATGTCGAATATTGTGACATGCTTACCATTAACAGAGAAGCGTTGCTCAAAACACCTGGCATGATTTTTCTACTTTCTTTTCACGGTTGCAGTTAGACGGTTGAGTAAGTATTAATATGTTAAATTTTTCTTCAACGAAATCCCTTTCCCCTTCCAAAATATTATTCTCTGGTTTAATGTGTGTCATTTGCTGTTTAAATTAATTTAAGAAGAAGCATTCACTTTCTATCTTTGTTACAAAAATAAACAATTTTATATAAATCAACATTCATATCTTGTCTATGTCCAATAACATGATATTGCATGTTAAAGGTCCCTCCTATATGTAAGTTATTAATTAACTAACAGTTTTATTTTGACTGACTAATAAAAAACAATCTTTATTTTTTTTCTTTATTAATTAAAGTTAAATATGCATAATATTTTATGTGGGCAGCATTTTTTTAGGTTATTATTTGAAATTTGATATATTGTAATATGTTATATTGTGTTTTTTTTTCTCATCATTGAAATGAATGAAAACTGAGCTTATTTTGATATATGATTATTCATGAATATATTAACAACTGTCAGAAAATTCATTTTCTATTCTACTCCTGTCATCATCATTAAACAAACATGCAAGTATACCAAGAGCAAGCATGGAACGGTAATAAAGCTGATTTTTTGTGTATTTTGTTTTTATTTTAGTGTTTTTTCTTTAAATTTTAAATATGTATAGAATCATTATGTGGTTGTTTTAATGATCGACGTATATGTTGTTATGGGTTTTGGTGTTGTTGTTGTTTATATGGTCAAAATGCAGCGAAAATTGATAATCATTCAAAATGTTCAACTCATTGTTGTGTATATAGTGTCATGAGTTTATTAGGTTGTTGTTGTCTTATTCATACAGTTAGACGTGGACAATTAAGAGAAAAATATAGTTTAGAAGAAGGTATTTGTGGAGATTGTTTAAGTACATGTTGCTGCCCATCATGTACTATTTGTCAAGAAGCTCGAGAAATGAAAGTTAGAGGTATGATTAATATATATAGATATTTAAATTTATTGATCTCTTATTTGTTTATATATGTAGGATACCCACCACCACCAATAATTATAATACATCAACCTGCTGTTTCTGTATCAAGTTTAGCCGATAGCAGCGTAAATAACTGATGAAATTGCATAATGATTTTTACATTTTAATAAAAGAAAATAATTTCAACAATTAATTTTATCGACATATTAAGTGCATGTTTGATTTTCAAAATTACAACATGTTTCGAAAATATTTTGTTACGTATACTGATATGAGATAGTATTTTTCATGTAGAATAAATGATTTTCTTACTATAATGTAATTTGATCTGATAACTTTGAAAATTCTACATGGATTAATAGAAACATATTATATTGGATATGCGATTAAGAATCTTTCTTTGAAATTTGCTTAATATTTATTAGAAAATGTAATATAGAATATTGTGATTTTATCAGTCTTGCGAAATGAGAGTACATAAAAACAGATTCATCTACAGTTAATTCATTTGATCGTGTTCAAATACCAATGAACACATTTCTTTCTTTTTTTTCAGGTTCAGGAGATTTTTTTATTCAAGCTATTGGTTTTAAAAATGCATTCATAGTTTCCAACAGGTTTTTGTGAAATACAAAGTAAAAAATGTTTTTATAGACAATAAAAATTAATTTATAATGTATAGACTTGTTGTTCAAAGAAAAATTTCGAAATGAATCAAATGTTTTTATATGAAAAGATGGTGCACAGCAGAGATGGGCAGCTCCGACTCCGGAGCGATCGCTCCACGGAGCTGGCTCCTTTCCATGGAGCGGAGCGACTCATGAGAATGGTGGAGCTGGAGCGGATTCCGAGCGGTTTTTTTTATTGTAAGCGGAGTCGGAGCGATCTTTTGCCTCTAGCTCCGATCGTACGCTCATTTTTTCGCTTTTCCTATATGAAAAAAATTCGAAGGAAGATTAGATGAAAATCCATCGAAATATTGATGAAAAACTGAGATTAAAGTGTTATATCTTCTAATCAGTTTTTCATCAAAAGTTGTCAAGAACTTATACTTTCATATGTAATTTCGCTCGACTCCAATTTGTATTAATTTTAGTACGTAATGTATGAAAGATCTTCAACTGATTTGGATCGATATGCATCGATAGTAGCCGACGCATTTCGCCTAACTTAATAGATTTTTGATCGAAGTTGATCGGAACTACTCTAAACCGCAAAAAGTTAATTGAAATGCTCTATGAATTATCGACATTTTATAGCTACTTTTGACTAAAAGATTAATTAAAAATCTACAATTTTCATATCTTATGATCTGACTTAACTTGTCACATTTTACATGATTTTTTTCCATGAAGAAAGGAAGAAGAATTGATAAGGAGGAAGCTCGTCATCCATTATTCACTTTAATGAATATGTCATTGTCACATTTTTACGGATGACAACGTTTAAAATATTGATCGATCATTCATTGAGTATATTGTTTTTCACTTGATTTGACTGCGCTATTGTTAACTTTACAATGAACGAACACGACGTCGAAAACGAGAGAGAATCAAAGAAAATAAAATGTGCGAGAAGTGAGTGAACATGGAACAGAACAAAATTTATCATTCAAGTGAAAGTTGAACGAACACACTTTTCTATGTCAAACAAAAAAAAAATCAATCATCATTAGCTGGGCAAGATGATAAGTCCAACGAATCATCTTCTCTTATTGTCGTCCACGATCATGACACATTGCCAATATATAACACTGAAAAAGTGGCTAACAATTTTCTTGAGCAATTCTTCGATGAGGTAAAGATACATGATGATGAAACAAAATCTGCCAAATGTTTAATATGCCGCACCATTGTCAAACAATCTACCACATCAACGTATAACTACGGAGGTCATGTTCATCGTAAGCATTCCAAAGAAATG